CTGAGTACACAAACATTTCTGATGGGGGATTTCACAGAAATGTGGGACTAGGAGGAAAGAGCCTGTCTGTTAAATAATACTGAAGGCCAAAAGGACTGAATCAACCAAATTTAAACAATTTATGTTGGTGGAAAAGTATTAGACGGATACAGTCTTCTGTTAAAGGGATTGTTCAGCTCAAAATGGTTTAGCAAGCATTTTATTGTGTATGCACATCTGTGTCACTTAAGACACACACACACTTACTTTTATAGGCTATTTGTTTCCACATCAGAAATGAATGAAAATCAACCTACTAAAAGTGCAAACTATAAACTATAAATGTACGCTGAAAAAAAAAATTGGAGCAGAAATAAGTTTCACATGTTCACATAGCCTAGAGGGGAGTGCGCCAACAGTTATTACCATTTCGTTGCAGGCGTCCCGAGTTCGAATCCCGGCTTGAGGACCTTTCCCGATCCCACCCCCTCTCGCTCTCCCACTTCGCTTCCTGTCTACTCTACACTATCCTATCCTAATAAAAGCAAAATGCCATAAATAAATATTTTTTAAAGAAAACTGCTAGAAACTGCTAGTAAATTTCATTCAAATAATTACAAATAAATGTAAGTAACACACTAAATTAAACAAGAAATTATGAAGTATAACGATTAAATTAAACTTAAAAATAAAAGACTAAATTATTTTCTTGTAAACTGTAATCCAATAATCTTTTTTATTTTAAACTTAATTTACAAAAACAACTTTTATACTATATATATATATATATATATATATATATATAGAGAGAGAGAGAGAGAGAGAGAGAGAGAGAGAGAGAGAGATTATAATAAATGTATACAATATATTCTAAAATAATTTTTCCCCACAATTTTGAAGAATCACAGCATAATTTTTTCACAGAACAGCCTGAACTTCTGCTTACAGAAAAATATATTTCAAGCATTCTTAGAGTGAGTAGAATTTCAATTTTGGGGGTGAACTACAGTCTTAAGTTACTATTGTAAGTGAAACGTCTCTCCTCACATTTGTGCCAATCATGTTAGTGAGCCCCCTGTTATAGCCCTCCCCTTTCTGAGAGCGAAACACCTGGACCGTTGTGAAAATATTTGGCCTGTAAAGGACTCAGTGCTGCAGGGCCCCATCTCAATAGCATCCTTCACTCTCATAATCAGTCTAAAGACATTATCCACTTAGTGGAGATGAGCTGAGGGGCTGCAGGGGATACGCAGGCTGGGTAACACAGTTAGTCTAATGGCCGCCAAAGAGGGAGCAAGATGACTTTCAGTAGGGTTGGAGGGCAGGGGAGGGGCTCGGGGGAGAGAGGGGCTCCCCATGGGCCTGGTAATCCAATGCTTGCATTGAGGTTTTGATATCCCTCTCATTTGGGGACAACAGCTTTTATAAGCTCTGTTGACAAGGTGCAGCCTAATGCAAACAGCCATTCGCCTGCCCTTAGGCATTCATAGAAGAGCTGATGAGGACAAACTGGGTCTGAGAGAATGAAGTTTAAATAGTCTTTGTGACCAAAGCACATGATGTATTTTGTATTACAACAAAAAACAATAATAAATGCATATAATAATAATAATAATAATAATAATAATAATAATAATGCAACTGACTATATAATCTTAAATTTGGATAGTTAAATAAATATAATTATATTTAATAAGAAAAAAAGGCTTCCTCTTTATATACAGTATATATATATATATATACACACACATCAAGCAGCACAACTGTTTTCAACTGTGATAATAGCAAAAATGTTCTTGAGCATCAAATCAGCATATTAGAATTTCTGAAGAATCATGTGACATCACAAAAATAAATTACATTTTAAAATATTTTAAAATAGAAAAGTTATTGTAAATTGTAATAATATTTGCGATTATATACACACAATATTAATATTTTTACTGTATTTGTGATTGAATTAATTTGCATATGAGACGTTTTGCAAACTTTCAAAAACATAAAATCTTACCTATATCACCACGTTATATTATATTAATTATAATATAATATAATATATTCATCATTCACTCCTCACTGTTAACACTCTTAACAAGCTAAAACCTAATACCCTTGAAATGCACCATATCCACAAGATATGGCCATTCACTCTCATTTCAAAAACTAGACAAGTACAAACTGTCTGTCTCTCCCAACGGTGTGATCGAACCCCGTGCAAAAACTAACACTGGGAACACAGCGAACTCTCTAAAGGGACATATAAACTCACTCCTCTTGGGCAACACAAAGTACTTTTGCAGTAAAATTCCAGTTCCACTCATAGTGTTTTTCTTCTGTAGGATGGTAGGCTAATTAGATTTTACTGCAACCATACCGCAATATTGGCTTCATGGGAAATCCACACAGCTAATACGAAGCTTTTACAAGTGTACAGAACAGGCTTTCAATGATTCAATCATGAAGTTCAGTGTCCAGGCACATTAGTGGTATGTTCATATGCGTGTGTTTGATGACGGCAGCAGTGGGTGCAGTTGGAACACTCTTCAAGTGTGGAAGTTGTGTGTGGCTGTGGAAGTTGTAGGACGTGTCTTTGATTTACTGTAAAGGAGAGAAGTGTTCTGCTCTTGGCTGGAGGAGCTGTTATATGCAGTTTAACAGTGTGCGTCTCTTTGACATGGCCATTTAAATCTGCCTCATTCTCCTGTGTGGACAATTAGTAAAACTCTAAAACACTGAAGCAACGGCGGTCTAGAATCCCTTAAATCCAAGCACAAAGTTTAGTAAATTCAGTGTTCAATCTGACTCAGACATTAAAGTCAATGGTTGCAAACATTTCTTTCCTCAAAAAGAGCAGATGCCAAAAAGCAAAGCAAGTTCACAAACACTAAGTTGGTATGGTGATCATATGTCAATCACTGCAGTATCAGGAGTGACTCCAGAATTCTGTTCACACTCTAAATGATCATTTAGAGCAGCGATTCTCAACCTTATTGACTGACTCCAAAGCCACCCATTGTCCACAACAATATTCAAAGACCCCGTGACTTTTCAAATTGTTCATGATTTATGGATAAAGATTAAGGATAAGGATTTTTAAAAGAAATATGAAAAAAATAATTTTAAGACTTTTCAATTTCCATGAGTTTGGCAGGTCTAGAAATCACACTTTTACAATTTCTCATATATTCACGTTTTCCGAGACTTCTTGTTCCAAGAATCCTGGTTCTTCAATGAAAAACAGTCAATAAAATAAGTAAGATCTTAATTTTAAATTGTTTTAGCTTTTTTAATTATTGTTTTGTCTCATTTTAAGCCATCTTGAGGCCCACTTAAACATTTACTGAGGCCCTCTAGTGGACCCTGGCTCCCTGGTTGAGAACCAGTGATTTGGGGGATTCACTCTTGCATTTGAACACAACTGTCACTTCCAAAATGTTCCAGTATGTATGTGGGTTTGGTACAGTGGTACTCTGCCCTGGGTTTCTGCATTCATCACATCATAAACTGCCAGTTTCAAAACCCATTCTCCACATATAATCATCGCCAAAGACATTGCATGGTTGGTGCAAGCCCTGTGCTTTTCTTAATTCAGCTAATGAAAAAACATGTAATGGGAAAGATTGAGAAATGTTTTAACATAAAATGCAGCACATGCACATAAATCCACACACATGTTCTTTATCTGACTTTAGGAAATGCAGCTCTGATAAAATCCCAGAAAATGGTCTGGTGAAGTCTGTAAATAAGATAAGAGTTTCACACACATGGCCATATAGTCAGCGGTAAAGACCAGCTGTTCTAGCCTCAGCCTTTCTTGGTGAGACCCCTTCAACAGCAGAGCAAAGCATCTTTGTGTCCAGATAACAAATTAGAAAAAAAAATGCATGGCTTTAAACTTGTGATCAAAAACAGCAGATCATTTGATAACACGTGATTTTTTATGTTTTTGAAAGAAGTCTCTTATGCTCACAAAGGCTTCATACAAAACTAATACAAAAATAACAAAATACATTAAAAAAGTATTAAGATATGAAAAAGAGATACCATCCATAAACAATAATTTTAGCAGCTTGAGTCAACAAATGATAGTGAGAAATAATTGGTAAAGAATTGGTGAATAAAAGCAATGTAAAATCCACTACACCTGATCATACAATGAGGCTTCAATCCTTCCGCTGCAGCTGAGTTCTGATTAAACTTCTCTGTAATACAAAGCAACGTCCCCAATGCAAATATCACACACTCATTTTGAATTTGGTCCCTGTGGTTTGTTTTAAGTGCTCAGGGCACCTCAGGTTTCTTATTTATCCATTTTTTTAATTTGTGTCATATAAACACAAACAGATTAGATAATAGAGACGAGGGAGCGTGGGATTAATTTTGAAGTGGCTCGTTAGCACGTGGCTAGTCTAGGATAATTAGGTTTCGTTTTTTCCCCACGGCCTCTAGTCATATTGCAGTGTGGCAGCTGCTTTTGCAAGCCCCCCATTCTTTGCCTGATAAGTGGCTGTCAATCAAACAGGCCTGAGTTTGGTAGCGTAACATCTGCGACTGCATCCTGAGTGGTCCATAGCAACAGCATCCAGTTAGTGTCTGGTTCACAGGCCTCTGAAACACCCTCTTAAGGCATCATAATTATGCTGTACTGGAATAAATTTACAGTAACAGTGTGTCACAGAAACACAGAAAAACCAACAATACTCATGTAAAAAGAACAAGTTTCTTAAGTATAATTATTTTAAATAATAATATTATTATTAACTGCATTCATTTTTGCATAGAATTGCATCCATCAGTTATACCACAAGTTGTTAAATTGGGGTTTGCAAAGGTATGAAAGGGAGTGAAAAAAAGACTGTATTTTTATAATGAACAAAAACTGTATTTAAAGGACAATGTTAACTCAATGTTTAACTCAATTATTTTTACTAACTTATTAACAACTGTCATCTTAATATGCCTAAATTAAGTAAATCTTACCAGATGGTATTTTAATAATTTGCTGAGAATATAAAACTGACAATATTTTTCGGAAGAGCATCACTTGCAACAAGAATCATCATGTTTGGGAAGATGAAGACATTCATTTCAATTATAATCCTGTCAAGTTTCACGTAGCAAGATATCTATTTTATTGAAGTTATGAAAACTACAGTAACAGCAGGTCAAATGCAGAACAGAACAAAAAAGCAACAGCAACAAGAACAAAAGATATTAACTTTTTTTCACGTGACATGAAAGCAGAGTTGAAAACTAGACTTGACTACAGTAAATCTTCAATGAATAGTTCCTATCTAAGAACCCTAATGAGGTCCAGACTGATCCGATTCCTCTGAAGATCCACATTTATGACCCGTACCTCTACCCGCTCACCTGGGCCGAGAGCAAGGCTTCTTTGCCGCTGGTCAACAGGAAGCTTATCCGGAGTGATGAAACGCTTTGGGATGAGACCAGAACGTCCGACTCCAATGTCCACAAAGGCTCCAAATAAAGCAGTGTTTGTTACACGACCTGTTACCACCATTCCATCGTGTAGGTCATTCATGGACACAATTTCCCGCTTGAAATCTGCCTGTTCAAAATCTATTGAGGACAATAAAACAGAAAATAATTAGGGTAAAGGTGCAGTCATATTAGTAAAATGTCATGGGCAAACAATTGTACATTGTAATTTATGACGAATTCGTGTGGGGAACTTTTTCGCCCTCATGCAAAACACGCAAACGCTTGAAATTAGTGGAATTTGCTAAATTTCGCCAAGCAATGGTAAATGTGACTGCACCATTCGAAACAAAGATGGAAAGATAGAATGTTTAAACAGATTTTGTCTTTTTCCAATGACTAAGACTGACATTAGCCTCCTTCCCTTCAAGTCTTGAGCACCGTCCTCCAAACTGATCCAAGAACTCCAAAGCTAGACATTAGAAACAAGCTTCAGTTAATGGTTTAAAACAAATAGAATTACCAGGCCTCTCAAACCTCTTTTTTCCGAGTCCATTTTGTCTGTTTTTTGGGGTGATTTTCTTTGGGAGGTGCTTTTTACATAAACATGGCCTCTCAGCAGGCTCTGCAGTCCAGGAAACATTCATCTCTGATTATTCTTATCCGGGACACCTTACCTAGAGCACCGCTCACATGGCTGTTATTTATACAGCTGGCTACAGAGCAGAACCCATCAGGCTTCCAACCAGGGGAAGTGAGCTTGCAGCCTTCTGATGAGAAAACTAGTGTCCTATCTAGTGCACGACACTGACGAGGTGACATCTCATCGTCTGCGACCATCTCTGCTAATGATCTTGATCAATGATGTTTAAAAACACTTTATTCAGATGTGCAATATGTTTTGCGGCATTTTCAGATTAACATTTCTAAAAGACCTACAAATAGAGTTTTTCCTCCACAGGAGTCTTAATTCAACTTCAACGAGCATTGCCATAATCTTTGCAAGTGTGGAAATAAAACCCCCTCCCGTTCCCCAAGAAAATCTTTCTCTGCATATAATGAACTCTGCTCCCCAACCCTGAAAACACGTTAAGACATTCGTCTCAATTATAATCCTGTCACCTTTAATGAAACATAACATTTAATATCAACACCCGCAGAAGGAAAACAATGTCTTCTCAGATGTCTGAACTTAACATTAAAACCAGAAGAGGCGTTTGTTGTTTGGTCGTTTTTATTCACTTGGAGAGTCACTGGGGGATTTTAGCGATGGGATCAAGGCTACTCTGCTTTCCTCTTTACGCAGCTTTCTCTCTCATTAATGATATATCTGTCGGCAGGTCTGCTTTAATAATGTGGGTCTTCCCCCAAATTACGCGGCAAGACTTCAAAAGCCTGGAGCGCCGCCCAGTCATTTCACAGACATGAGACGGACTCAGGGGAGACGGGAGGAGAATCGCTAGGTGGGAGTGAGGAAACGAGTATGAGATGCCAGCATTGTCTGTGATCTGCGCAGCGGCCATGTTGAGAAAGAACTTTGATACTTTGGTTTGTGCTGTGCTAAACTGATTTAAAAACCTAGCCACAGGCTACAATCTGAACCACATTATAGAAAATGTAAAACGTCCATGCACTTAGTTTGCATTAGCCTGTCTATATTGTGTAGAGTTGTCCTACATGTCTATTTCTTAAAGCAACACAAAATGAAAATTTTGCATTTACATGACCGCCTGACAAATCTGTATGATCTACCTTCTTTGGTGGAATACAAAAGGAAGTATTTATAGGACAATGTCCGAGCTCCTTGTTTCCATTTAATGAAATTCCAAAGCCATCAAACAAGATTATCTGTGCATAATAACTTGAACCTCCGTCTTTTCCTCATATAAAGCCATTGTACTGAATTTAACCCATTCATGACCACTACTGTGGACAGATATTTGGAAGCCATTTTGAACCATTTAAATTGTAGCACCATTTCCCAACCACCAACTGGTGAACCCCCAAAGTGTTGTCTTCGATTTCATTTAATTGTTGTTTTTATATCTTTTTTTTTTTATCATTTATTTCAATGCTTACAGTCTATATTTATTTATTAGGACATATAAAAGTGTAGGCATGCATACATGTATACTGAATGAATGCAGGTATATGTGTGCATGATTGCATTCAAGTGTGTGGTTGGAGGGTGTGTGTGCTTGTGTGTGTATTTGTTCTCACATGTGTATGAATTAAATATAGTTTATGAGTTGGGCTTTTATTATGCATTTACTGTGCCTTTTTATCCTTTTTAAGCTTAACAGCTCAAAAACCAATGGCCAACTTCCATTAAATGGAAAAGTCAATCCAACCTCATGAGAAAACAACTATTTGAGTTGTCAATTTTGGGCCAGATTTACTAAAGGCAAATTAGCACGAGAGCGCAATTCCAAAAAAACACCAATGCGAGTGGAACGTTTTCCAGATGATCTACTGACAATGCTCAAATTAAAGGGTTAGTTTATCCAAAAATTAAAATTCTGTCATTAATTACTCACCCTCCAATGTCCGAGCTCCTTGTTTCCATTTAATGAAATTCCAAAGCCATCAAACAAGATTATCTGTGCATAATAACTTGAACCTCCGTCTTTTCCTCATATAAAGCCATTGTACTGAATTTAACCCATTCATGACCACTACTGTGGACAGATATTTGGAAGCCATTTTGAACCATTTAAATTGTAGCACCATTTCCCAACCACCAACTGGTGAACCCCCAAAGTGTTGTCTTCGATTTCATTTAATTGTTGTTTTTATATCTTTTTTTTTTTATCATTTATTTCAATGCTTACAGTCTATATTTATTTATTAGGACATATAAAAGTGTAGGCATGCATACATGTATACTGAATGAATGCAGGTATATGTGTGCATGATTGCATTCAAGTGTGTGGTTGGAGGGTGTGTGTGCTTGTGTGTGTATTTGTTCTCACATGTGTATGAATTAAATATAGTTTATGAGTTGGGCTTTTATTATGCATTTACTGTGCCTTTTTATCCTTTTTAAGCTTAACAGCTCAAAAACCAATGGCCAACTTCCATTAAATGGAAAAGTCAATCCAACCTCATGAGAAAACAACTATTTGAGTTGTCAATTTTGGGCCAGATTTACTAAAGGCAAATTAGCACGAGAGCGCAATTCCAAAAAAACACCAATGCGAGTGGAACGTTTTCCAGATGATCTACTGACAATGCTCAAATTAAAGGGTTAGTTTATCCAAAAATTAAAATTCTGTCATTAATTACTCACCCTCATGTCGTTCCAAACCCGTAAGACCTTCGTACATCTTCGGAACACATATTAAGATCATTTTGATTAAATCCGAGAGTTTTCTAACCCTGCATAGACAGCAACGCAACTACTACATTCAAGGCCCAGAAAGGTAGTTAGGACATCGTTAAAAAAGTCCATGTAACATCAGTGGTTCAACCTTAATTCTATGAAGCTACAAGAATACTTTTTGTGCACAAAGAAAACAAAAATAATGACTTAATTCAACAATTTCTTCTCTTCCGTGTCAGTTTTCGACACACATTCACAAGAGTACCACGACGCATGCGTCTGGTGCTGCTGATGCATGAGCCAGCGCTCAAATTTAATCAAAAATAGCTTATTTTTTGTTCCGAAAATGAACTATGGTCTTACGGGTTTGGAATGACATGAGGGTGAGTAAATAATGAAAAGAATTTTAATTTTGGGGTGAACTAACCCTTTAAAAAGAACATGGACGCAACATCTAATTTCCATAATGACCAATGCAATCTACCAAGAGCAGCACAAATTAGTGTAAGGACATGTTCCAATGATGCCTTCCTCTGGCATTCAAAATAAATTAATACAGGTGGAAAAAAATCTCTCCCTTCTACACGCGATCTCTGTTCTCTGCAGTGCCTCCTCCTGCCAGCAACAATTGCAGCCATGTGAAGCGCAAAGTGAGTTAAGACATGCTTATTTGATTGACTACAACAAACCTTAGTAAATCGCCTTGCATGAATCAATTTAAATACTCTCCTCTCATAAATTTTGTGTCTGAAAGAGAAACTCCTACAAATGCATATGCAATATGTTCAGCCACAAAAATCCTCACCTTTTCAGTGCTAATTTTGCTCTCCGTGTCTTTAATAAATCCTGACAGTATTTTTTAATGCTAAAAGATGGTTTGCGTTGGGGCAAACTGTTAGTCAATTTGGCCCATAGTATGAATTAATGCAAAAACAATTTTAAGGAGGAAAAAAAAAGCCTAAAAAAGATTTTTCTTTTTTACTGAGGCATTAGTAGAACCAACACAAAAAATTATATATTTACATTTTTAGAAATGTATTTTTCTTTTCAAGCTGGAAATCACAGCTATAATGTAACTCCATAAATCTATAAACTTCTGCTGAACAATGATGATGTAAGAACTTGAACATAACAAGCAGTTTTCAAGAAAATTAATGTACAAAATCAAGGAATATGATAGTGGGAACAGCACTGGCCCAAAAAGGGAAAGTGACAGAGTTATGTTAAGTGGCCTGGGTCAGTGAGCAATACTTATCGATGAGCCCTGCATAAATCTTCAGATACAAAGTTGGGCACATCATAGATAGACACTTACCCTGACGAATGTCAAAGCCAGGTGGCTGAGTGAGTCCATCCACAATGAGCTGAAGTGTCTCAGGTGTGGTGTCCAGAGATTTGGCCAAGACATCTAGACCTCTGCTCTTAACACTGCTCTCAATACTCTGCCTGAGTGCAGCGCTGCCCATCTGATCCAAACTGCCCCCTATTTCAGACAAGAACCTAAATGAAGACAGCAAGAACATACAATTACTGTCTTGACAAGTGAAGAAATAAAGTTAAGGACATTTCATATAAAACCTTATGTAAACTTTTCAATCTTAATCAGAAACACTCCACATGCCAAACACATGCACTTTCAGATGCTGTGTTAAGGCAGTGGGGTCTGTTGAGGACCATGGGAGGTGGTGTCTTAATGAATGGCTTTTTAATAGCCCTTCTCAGAGCCCAGTGCACGTGGAGGAACTCCCCCTACACCAGCGAGGAGCCTGAAAGAGTGGAGGAGAGCAAAGACTGGGAAAGGAGGTAGATAGGGGAGGAGAGGTGAGACTAATTATGCCCTAAATCTTGATTTCTAGAGTCCCCGAGATGAAGACTCTGTCTCCCTCCATAAATCTAACCGCCTTGTGAGCACCATACATAAAAGGAAAAGGTTAGTGCTGAGGCTTGAGCAGTGAAGCAGGAACAGCGCAATCACAGCGAGCAAAAAAGATCCAGACATGGCCTATTACTTGGCACAGGCCATAAGCTCTGGCTCAGGATGAGCCTTTATATTCATGACGTGATCATGAACTGTAACACTGAGACAGTGGTTAATCTTCAGCTTTATATTGTGCTGCATAGAAGGTATGTTAGGGATATATACTACAAATCGAAAAATGCATGTAAATACACAGCATACTGTATGTATGGGTGGGAATCTTTAGGCAAATAATGTATTCGATTTGGAGTTGCACTGAAATTACAGGTTCAATAAGAAAAAAACTTTAATACCTTAAAAAAGAGCTGTTTAGATTAGTGCTTTAGCATTAAATTAAGTTTAGTGTTTTGTTCTAAATTTGGGGGTGTGTTTATTCAAAAACCTGTAACAATACAGCCAATAATAAAAGTTTAAATACTGAAAGCTGATTTTGAAACTTTGAAACTGATTTTATCTGTGGTTCAAAAGAAACCCATATATTTCTTCACTACAGACCATAAATACCCCTCCATAATAACTTTTGTTAATTATTATTACTTTATTTGCCACCTTAACAGATCAAACCACAGTTCTGCTCATAACCATCACTAAAATGCCAGCTTGAAGAACCTGGAATAACGTGTAACTAAATGTTATATGCGTAAGTTAATTAAAACTAAAATAATACATTTTTAAATGTATTACTGTCATCAAATGTACTGTCATTAAAACAGTTAAATGTGTAGTCACTGTTGACTATGTGAAAAGACAAGTGCAGCCTTCTTGGCCCCTGTTGTTTTGTAAATTCATTAATTATTTCATATTGCAATTAGTAAAACAGAGATTTAAAATTTAGAGTGCCAAACATTTTCAGACAGCATGACATTTGTCTGTAATGTTTTGTCCTGTGTATGCTTGCTAAATAAATACAATTCCAAATAATTGGATTAAAATAAAAAATTTTCATGAAAATAGAAAACAGAAAAATAACCATAGCATGTAAATAATAAAACAGATTAAAATTTGTATATATTGATGTGGAATCATTTTAGAAAATTCACAAATATAAGAAATGTTCCCACATTAAAATTCTGGCAGATACCAAAAAAACTATTATTATTTTTGTATTATGGGCAATAATAACTGATAAATGGTCAAAAATCTAAAATTTAAATTCTACACTATTTTGCTAAAAAAATAAAAAAAAATCTAAATGGAATAAAGTGAATTTAGGCATCACAACATTATATATCTGGAAGTTGCTTTAAATGACAATATAACATACTGATAAAAGGTCAGTCCATAATTCCTCAGTTTGCCTTATAAAATCATAAAAGTTAGTGCCTAAATAATGTTCTCTCATGAGAGTACAGTGTAAATGAGTGATATAACCTCTATGGGGACACACACATGTCCTGGAGTGTGCAACAAGCCTGTTTCGGGGGTCAAACTGTCCAGAGGTGGCTGTGGAATGCTGGGGTCCTGGGCATTTCTGGAATGTGAGTTTTGGCAAGAGGAGGGGGCAGACCTGCTGAGCCAGCTTGCTGATGGATGGCCGTCGCCGTGACAGCCTGACGCCAGCGCAGCTGTCCTCTGTGTGAGTGACAGGGCAGGTGGGTTCAAGCCCCACCCATTTCCTGCTGCAGACAGAGGGCTTGACAGCAACAGTGACAGGCAAATCTACTCACACTCGCTCTATTGTATGTATCCAGACAATTTCACACTGTCCGAGCTCGCAAACAGATACATAGCACTAATACGCTTACATACATATCATTGCTCCTCCTCGACTCATCCTCTTGAAAAAGTGTACACTTGACAGGACGGATACTGGTAGAGTGTAATTTTAAACTGCGTGTGTCCAAACATTGACAAGACACAGATCCTTCATCATTTTAGTGAGAAATTCATATATACGAAACGTCTAGGTTACTTGTGTAACCCTCGTTCCCTGAAGGAGGGAACGAAGACGTTACGTCAGTGACTGACGAATTGGGATCACGCCCGAGAGCCCAATCACCTTCGAGTGTTAACTAAACAAGCCAATGACAGTTGTCGTGCGTGTTTCGCCATGCGCACCCTGCCCCGCAGCGCGGGTATAAAAGGAGAGCGCGTGTAAACGCACATCAGCTTTTTGCTTCGGAGCCGAGCCTTCTACAGGACGAATCTCCGCGAGTGTTCGGAAAACGGCTGGCGTTGGTGTTACGGCGTGTCAGTGGGGGTTGCCATCCAGGCTGCTGAAATCTCGGCGAGCTGCAGCTTCCATTCTGCGGTCTCGCCGCGACCTCCCCTGGGCGCTTCAGTGCTCTCTCTAAAAGAGAGTTTTTCCTTTCTAAAAGAGCAAATTCTAAAAGAGCTCCACGAGCGACGGGCGTCTTTTTAAAGATGGCTTCCCACTCGTGCGTTTCTGGATGTGGTCACTTCCTGGCTGCATCTGATGGTCATGATCGCTGCATCTCGTGCCTGGGCTTACTCAAAGGTGATTGGGCTCTCGGGCGAGATCCCAATTCGTCAGTCACTGACGTAACGTTGAACGTGACTGACTGAATGGGAACTATGAATATATTCTGAATAATCCACTCATTTATTAAGAATATGGCTCAGGTGGCGTTTTATAGTTTAACCCCTTCTCAAGCACCCCCTATTTTGGCATGGAGACAGGTGAAAAGTAACAACATTCCTCACGCTCACGCTGAAGCTGCATAATTCAAGTTATCATACTTATCATACAAACACTGTCGGAAGAGTTCTGCATCAAAGATTTGTAGGAGTTAAACCTACTAAGAACAAACCCAAACCCATACATTTTCAATGCTGAGCTATAAACACAGAATGCCATAAGCTGCCTTTCATGCTCACATTGAAACATCTAACAGTTCTAAAGCAGTACTAGATCTAGTGAAACAAAAAAGTAATCATAGACTCTGTTGGGCCTTTGAGTTATGAGGTGATGAAAATGCAAAGAGTAACAGACACGCACGCACACATTCACACTGCGGATGAATTCCAGCTTGTCTCTCAAGAAAAAGATTTGATGAAAGAACCACAGAACCGAGACATTCAAGTGACATTGCATCTGTAGCCTGCACAGCAAGAACAGCATTAATGGTCAAATGGTAAGAATTTTGTAATGTTTATGAAATAAGTCTCTTATGCTCACCAAGGCTGCATTTATTTGATCGAAAATACAGTAAAAACACTAATACTGTGAAATATTTTTACAATTTAACTTTTTCTATATATTTTAAAATGTAATTTACTCCTGTGATGGCAAAGCTGAATTTAAAACATTAAGATGAACTGTCAGTCATTAAGTCCTCAAATCATTCTAATATCTAAATAATAAGAAATGTTTCTTGAGCACCAAATCAGTAATTTTGAAAACAGTTGTGCTGGTAATATTTTTGTAGAACCTGTGATAAATCTTTTTAGGATTCTTTGATGAATAGGAAGATCAAAAGAACAGCATTTATTTGAAATAAACAATGTATAAAAAGTCTTATTTTGTGAATTTTGATGCATCCTCTTGCGAAATAAAATAAAATAAAATCTTTATTTGGATGCCTTCAGCAAAATGGTTCATAGTCTTCCTGGTATCCACATATTATACACTATATAATATATACTATATATTTAATGGTTACCCCTTATAATAAGGTTCAATTTGTTAACATTAACAATGCATTAGCTGTTCACAATACTTTTAACAACAAAATATTGTATTAACTTTTAAGGGAATAGTTCACCCAAAAATGTTCACCCATTAATTACTCTCATGTCGTTCCAAACCCGTAAGACCTTTGTTCATCTTAGGAACACAAATTAAGATATTAATGATCAAATCCGAGAGCTTTCTGACCTGGCATAGACAGCAAAGGAACTACCACATTCATGGCCCAGAAAGGTAGTAAGGACATCGTTAAAATAGTCCATGTGACATCAGTGGTTCAACTATAATTTTATAAAGCTACGAGAATACTTTTGTGTGCAAAGAAAACTAAAATAAGAGCTGCCGTTCTGATGTAGAACTCGAATGCGCTGCGCCTTGTTTGCAAGCAGAGGTATGCATGCATAAGTGTCGTGGTACTCTCGTGAACAAAGGTCTAACAGGTTTAGAATGACATGAGGGTGAGTAATTAATGACAGAATTTTCATTTTTGGGTGAACTATACCTTTAACTATACTATTTTTACAGCATTTATTAATCTGGGTTCATTTATAAATATACTATAGTTTTTTATTAATTCATGTTTGCTCATAAAATAATTGTAATACAAGTTTAAAAGTTAAAGATGTATTAGCATATGTATTTAACGATATATAATTAAAATTAACATAGAATAATAAATGCTGTAAAGTGATTGTTTATAATAATTCATTAAGTAACATTAACAAATTAAACCTTCCTGTAAAGTATTACCAGATTAACAATGTATATTATGACAAAACTAAAGACACATCAACTGCAAACAAATTACCAAAAATTCCATTCCACATTAGCTCATCATATGGTGAAGGTTAATAATGATACCAAAAAAAAAAA